CAGTCCAGAGGGTGGATCTCCCTCTATTTAAAGAGTTTCCTTGTTTTAAAACAGGAGATGGGAAAACTATCCCTGCAATCTATGTACCATCTCTTATTTTGATCCAGGAATGAAGGATGTTTCCTCCATGTCAGCCTGGGGTAATTTCTGCCATGCCAGGCTAATTGACTGTACTCTTAGGCATTACATGAGCAGTGGCTGTCAGTGTTATAACTCTTAAAGACATAACATGGGAATGATCATTCAATGTTTCAAAAATATGTATTTTGAGGGAAATTAGACACTTTAAACATCTAGATGTCATTTTAAGATAGTCAGAAAAGATTTTCTGGATATAAGTTTTCCTGCAAAGTATATCTTTCTCTTTATTTTCTAGCGCGGTGACTCTCAAATTTTAGTGCAAGTCAGAATCTCCTGGAAGGCTACTTAAAACATAGACGGCTGGCCCTACCCCCAGAATTCTCGATTCAGTAGGTGTGGGGTGGGGCTGAAAATTTGCATTTCTAGCAAGTTCCAAGATAATGCTGATGCTCTTGTCTGCAGGCCAAACTTTGGGAACCACTGGTCTAGCACTTGGTAGATATTTGGTTAGTTGAGTGCCTTATTGAATAACATTTGAGAATTTCATGAGCTGGATTGTCTTTTCCAGGATGAATTTCAAAGATATATGAGGAAGAAGGTAATCTGCCTCAACTTATCCACACTGAAGATTCCTATAAGCAGGAACCCAGAAGAGCCCCTGGTGGCTGACCGCCACTCTGTCATAAATCAAGCTGTATCGAAGCCAGAATTAAAAGTAAGTGATGTTATTATGGCAAGTTTTTGCTAAAAAAGAATAATGTAAGTGTTTATTAGATGAAAGTCTGAGTATCACACTGCTGGGCTGGGAACTACAGCTCTTTATCAAGGAAAGTGAGAGCCACGTGAAGACCTGTGTTTAACAATCCTTCCCTCCCATGATGGGCTTTACTTTATCAATGACATCTGTTCTGTCACATTTGTCATTGCAGCTGAGATATATCCAAGTGCAGAAAATCAGATACATTTGGGACAACTTGGAGAAGCGGTTTCGGAAAGTCGGGTAAGTCCAACTTTTTCTCAGCACTACATCAGGATATAAGGGAAGCACATGGATTGTTGAGTGCCATGAACTGAAGTATGGTTCCTGTCCCGACCACACCCTAGGTCACTGGAAGACAGCAACTCCTGCCATGACATCCATCATACATTTGGACTGGGTCTGACCAGTGAGGAGCAAGAGGTCAGGTAGGGTT